TTTAAAGTAACTTTGTAAAATTCAGTATCTTCGTTTAAAATATTTATTACTTCCGATTTTTCTTCATCTGTAAGTGAGTTATCACTAAAAAGTGATTTGCGTCTGAGTTGATACTCTTCCTCTATGTCTGTGTGTAGGTTCAATGCACAAGCTCTTTTGAATGCAGCATTGACTAGCTCGCTACGAATAGAAGTCATTGTGTGATGAAATTCAAAAAAAAAAAATTTAATTAGATCCGAGCAGCAAGCAAAAGCATAGATGAGATCTTTTATATCAAAATTGTAAAACGTACCTTTTTTTTTGTGGCATAATACCATTTAATTCCCATTTAGGAGCCAAATGCAAGGAGAACCATTAATGAATGACATTTAGGGAATATCATTTTTGTCTAGCCGAAAAGAGTACTTGATATGTCATGTTTTCCGATTAATTCCGTTCTCTTTTTTTTTATAGGATGATAATTTATTGGCTAATTCATCAATAAGTAAAATTTTAATTGAAGAAAAATGCAGTGTGGTACAGTACATTCATAGAATGGCGCAGTTATTTTTAAAAAAGGAAAATGCTTAATTCTACATTTCATAACATGATATAAAAAAATTTGAAGAGAATCCAAAAATTTTGACGAAAATTATTGGGAAACGAAAATTAATATATGTAATATTTTATAGTTATTTTAATAAACAAAGAAATTGATTTAAATGTGCAAAGAAGATAAAGGAAATAAAATTGGTCCCATGCTTATTTCTAAATTATATAATTTTAAAGAATTTTAAATTCGGCGTTCAAAGGTGAATTGTAATTATTATGACAATTATTCATGTATTTCTTACCTCTTCTCCCAAAAAACTTTTAAAAATAATAATACTTTTTTCCCTCGCTCTCCCTTTTTGTGCTTATCGTGAAAATCGTGAGTTTAAGTCACATACATATTTATGGATCGAAATTTATAATACCTTTTAGGCATTTATTTGCGTTTAACCTATTAATATTAATTCGAGGCCATAACATACATTTGACCTCAAATATTCAGAACCTAATCTCTTTATGAATTTTCAAGTAGATTTTAGGTTCGTCCATAAAACATTATTATTTATTAATTTAATTTATTTAGTAAAATCAGAATAAAAACGATAAATTCTGTAGCCATACAAAATTAAATTGCATTTAAAACTTGTTTAAACGGAAACAAATATTTTGAATTAATTATGAACTTTACTACTATTCCCCTGCATGGGAACTAATTTTTTTTTTCACTTTACAAAACTAATCGAGTTTTATTTTTTAAAACAAATATTTCATAACTGTCGCAACAAAAAAACTAAAGGTACATAAAAAAACAAAGTAAAAAAAAAAAAGATAAACCAAAATAAAAAAATTAGATCGAAGCATAAAATACAAAAGAACAAAGAGAAATAAAAAAAAAGAAGAAAGAATGAAAATAAAAAATAGTTGCAAGCCAAGGTCGGCAAAAATAAAAAAATTAGTTCGAACGCTCAACCATTTTCGTTTCTTTTCTCCTTTTCTTTCCATTATTCCCCTCGCAGTTCCACTTTTCTTCCCATCCAGGTTCATTTGTAAGAGTCTGCCTACTCTTGTTTCATAACAGATTTTATCCTTAAATGCTGCGAGGGAAAGAATTTAGTTCTATTGTTGTACTCAATTAGTCAATTAGTCTTTTCTCTCCCAATTTTCAAAACCGTTACACCCTTTCCCAAATGGTTTTCGTTCTTCTAAATAAAAGGACCACAAGTAGAAGAGGAACTGAATGAAGTAGATGGTGGCGAGGAAGATCGAGAATTGTTGTAGCCTCCATAGTGTTTAATTAAATGATATGATTAAATTGATCTAGTCATGTATTTGCCAACATATTAGAATATCTGAGACGAGGTAAAAAAAAAATATTTTTTTACATATATTGAATACAGAAATATAAGAAACAGCATATGCATACACACCGATTATTATTATACTTGCATGTTATGTACGTAATGCCTTTTTTTAAAAGTGCTGTTTATTATTTATTATTCTCATCAATATATAATTCCAGAACAGGCGACGTTCAAAAAGAGAACCCCAAATTTTGAGTTTCGAACCTATCGTAGTTTATCCGATTCGAATTCACCTTTACTCCCAATATTCATATTATTCATGGAGAGGAAACATTTTTTTTAAAAAAAAAATTAAAAACTGATTCTTGTCGTATTTTCTTGTTTTTCATCGTTCACATCCTCTTCTTCTCTGTTGACAGTTTGACAGTATTGTTTGTAGATGTAAGCGATGATGATAAACGAGAGGATACGAGTGATGATAAACAAGAAAATACGAGAGTTAGTGAAATGGTATTTGTTTGCTATTAGTGTCTACTAATACCCAGGCTGCACGACGAGGACGTCAATACCAATCGCAACCCAAAAATTAAATCATATCCTGTAAACAAAGAAATAATTTAATTAGAATTGAAGATAAATTTAATCTTATAATAGTTAAAGAAACTTACTAAAAAGAAATGACCGAATGGATATTCAGTTCAAAGCATGGTCGGAAATTTTGGAAGATTATATAAACATTGTAAAAGAGATAAATTTTGTTAGAAAACGTTTTTTTATAAAAAAAAAAAAAATTAAATTCAAATATTAAATAGAATACTTTCATGTTAAAAAAGGGTGGATTTTGCTTATTGTAAAAACAATTCGATACTTTTGAAAAAGATAATTTTGTTAGAAAATATTTTTTTTTAAAAAAAAAAATAAGATTATAATATTAAATAGATCACTTTCATGTAAAATCCTTTGTTTAATGAAGGACATTTCGACACAAGAGAAATTTTTTTGAAAATGCTTTTTTTTTTAAAAAAATAAATTACAAATATTAAATGGAATACTTTCATGCTACAAGGTTTTATTGTAGGGACAACTTCAGCCAAGATTCGATAAAGCGAAAGTTCTTCCAAGAATCACGACCGACCATTTGCAACGGGATCGATAAGAACGGATAGGTTTCCTCCAATAATCACGACCATTTGATGGGATCGATAAGAACGGAAAGTTTCTTCCAAGAATCACGACCATTTGCAATGGGATCGATAAGAATGGATGATTTTCTTCCAAGAATCACGACCACTTGATGGGATCGATAAGTACCTTCGAAGGATCACGACGGAATCGATGAACGAATTTTTTCTTCCAAGAATCACGACCACTTGATGGGATCGATAAGTACCTTCGAAGGATCACGATGGAATCGATAAGAACGGATAGCTTTCTTCCAAGAATCGCGACCACTTGATGGGATCGTAAGTACCTTCGAAGGATCACGATGAAACGGATTTTTTCTTCCAAGAATCACGACCACTTGATGGGATCGATAAGTACCTTCGAAGGATCACGACGGAATCGATGAACGAA